TATATAATATAGTTTTTCTCTCTAAAAAAAAAAGAATATTTTTTTAATGTTTGGAGTAAAAGGTAACATCGAGATAAATTTTTTAGGATACACCTCAAGCTGCGATTACGCCTCGCATGCGTGATTCGGATGATGAACTTGAGGTACATAGAAAAAAATTATGTACATATTTACACACATAGCACATGAGTTAATAAGAACTATATATTTATTTTAATAATTGAACGCGTTATACATTTTATCAACGGTATCAATTTTAGGATGCGTGGAGAATTCATAATCCGGGAGAACGTGATAATGAATCTGCGCCACATTACAGAGTATGCGAATCTATTGTACTTATACACATATTTTAATTTAAAATACTTTTTTTTTTATATTATTTAACATTATTATTTTAGGATACATCACCAGACAAAACATACAAACCTTACACACCCGCAAACAAAACATACGCACAAGAGAAATTTGAAGTCAGATCACAAGATAAAATACTTCCACATGACACAACGACAAATACAACACATCCGCAAAAATCTGACAAGAAAATTGAGGTATAGAAATTGCGTTATAAATAGATAAATTTTTAATATTTAATTAAAAATTTTTAATTGAATTACAAATATTTTTCGCGAGTAGTTGAATTTTTTTTTACAAGAGAATATAAAATTTTATATATATTATTTTTTATAGGATGCTTCGAAAGAAAAAACACATTTGCGTGACACATCTACGAGTAAAACACTTCCACATAAAACCGACGAAATTTCAAAAGATAACATACTTCCACGTGACACACCCACGCATAAAATACATCCGCAAAAATCTGACGAAGAGATTGAGGTATAGAAACCGTATTGTCGCATAGGAATAAATTACATATTCATAAAATATCAATTTTTTTAGGATATTTGGCCGAGCAAAAAACGCGATACTGACTTTAAAAAACGTGACAAAGTATGCAAATACGTCTAAATCATAAATATTGTTTGCAAGTAGCTCAAAATTTTTTTTACAAAGGATTATAACACTTTAAATATGTTATTTTAGGATACTCCGAAAGAGAAAATACACTTGCATGGCACAACTACGAGTAAAACACTTCCACATAAAATCGACGAAGTTTCGAAAGATAAGATATTTCCACGTGATACACCCACGCATAAAATACGTCCGCAAAAATCTGACGAAGACATTGAGGTATAAAATCGTATTGTTACGTAGTCGGCAAAAATTATGTATCTTTAAAAACATCAATTTTTTTAGGATATTTGGGCGAATAAAGAACGCGATACTGACTCTAAAAAACGTGATGAAGTATGTAAATTTAAACAATAAATATTCTCTCAAATAGTTTAAAACTCTTCAGAAAAAATTTTAAAACTTTAAAAATGTATTATATTGTAGGATACTTTGAAAGAAAAAACATATTTGCGTGACACACCTATGAGTAAAATACTTCCACATAAAATTGATGAAGTTTTAAAAGATAAGACACTTCCACGTGACGCAATCACAAGTAAAATACATTCGCAGAAATCTAACGAAGAGGTCAAGGTATATAATGGATATGGAAGCAAATTTACAAAGTTTATGTTACCTTTACCTTTTCAAAACTATTACTATTTCTAGGATATTTCGCCGACAAAGCCAAAAGAGCGCGACGTAGATTCCAAGAAACATGATAAAGTACGCGAATATATATTTATTAACTAATTATCATACGTATATAATTAAATTGAACTAAGAAAGGGCATCAGAAAGAAAGAATATATAACATTTTTAATATAATTTTAGGATATATTGAAAAATAAAACACCTTTGAGTGAAATACCCACAGCTAAAACACAGCCATACAAATCCGATGAAGTGCCAAAAGACAAGTCACTTCTACGTGATACACCCATAGCTAAAACACAACCATATAAATCCGATGAAGTTCCGAAAGACAAGACACCTCTACGTGATACATCCACGGTTAAAACACAGCCGCACAAATCTGATGAATTATTAAAGATTAAACCGTATCTACCCGATACAGACAGAACACATTCACACAAATCTGATGACAAAATTGAGGTATATAACACGTTCATTACACATACATGTAATACATTTTTCTTTAAATATATATACATATATTATACATATACATACATATATAAAATATTAATATTATAAGACAATCAAGTCCAAAAATGTTGATTTGAAAAAATATAACATAATGTAAATTAATTTATTAAATATCGTATCACCAATAGCGCGAATTTACAATAATAATGTACAATATTTTAAATATAATATTATATTCTAGGATTTGCCAAAAGTTAAAGATAAATCATCTCGTCGTCAATCTGACGAAGAAATCGAGGTACATACACATTACACATTACACACTACATCTTACGTATTATATAATTTTTTTGCATATTTTTTTAACGCCAACATTTTTAGGATATTTGGTCCAAGCGGAAGGAACGTGAAGATAGATCACACAAAAATAATGAGGTACATTAGAACATTATTATAAGTTATTATTGTAGATCTATGAGAGGACACAATAGTTTAAGCACGATATTATTATAGGATTCACCCAAAGCTAAAGATAAACTATCCCGCCGTCAATCCGACAAAGAAATCGAGGTACACTTTACACGTTACACATTACATCACCTTGTACAGATTTCTTTATACTTTTTTTTAACGTCGATACTTTTAGGATATTTGGTCCGAGCGAAAAGAACGTGAACGTAGACCGCACAAAAATGACGAGGTACATCACGTAAAACATATTTTCCCACAATCTGAATATACACTTATAAGATACCATAAAAGTATCATTATTATAGGATACACCGATAACTAAAATTCAGAGACGTGTGTCCAAATCTGATGATCGAACTGATGTAGATAGCTCACCTTTGGACAAACCAAAAGTGCGTGAAGTTAAATTCACGCTAGATAATGAGGTAGATAATTAGATGATAAAATCAATAATATTCGCACAATTGTGATTAATACAATTTTTTATTATATTATTTTTTGATTGGGAGAGATAATTAATATAGTAAATTATAAAAATTGAAAAAATTTGTTCTTTTAATATGCGCGAAATAAATGCAACATTATTTTTTATTAAGAAATTTAATCTTATAATACTTTTTGCATATATATATGAGATTTTTGCGTTGTGGAAATTTTAGGACAAATCGGCGCCGAAATCGAAAGGACGCGACGATAGACACGTCTCATATCATGAGGTACACATGAAAAACACAAATGCATGACAATACAATTCATACACAATTTTTTTGTATCTTATGCTCACATACATATGGAACATTTTGATAAAGTATATGCTATTATTTTAGGACACCGCGAATCTCACAGACACATCACACAAACCTTCACTCGACCGAGATGTCAAAACTTACTATACACATTACAATTACGTTAGTTAGATAATACACATCATATCGCGTACAACGCGAACTTTACGATCTCTTTTGTAAATTGATGTATTATTTTAGGACGTATGGGCACCGAAATCTATCGAGCGCGAACAGAATTCTGTCACAATCGATAAGGTACACATACATATTTATACAGGCACATATTCATACACATTATAATGAAATAGATAATTAATTGTATAAAATACGCATATCTCCAAGCAATCTTTATTTTTTTTTTAAATCTTTTAGGACGTTTCTCTACCTAGCACTAAACTACAAACGCACGAATCCGACGATGATATTGAGGTACAGAATATATACATCTTTTTTTTATCATACATTCTTTTTGTGATTAATGTAATAAAATAATACGCGGTCGCAGGATATTTGGGCTTCGACAGCCGAGGATGATGCTCCGAAACCTATCAAAATACTGGAGGTACAAAATACGCGAATTGTGCTTAATACCATATTTATTCCTTTACTCGCAATGTAAATCGTAATTTATCGGTATTTTAGGATTCGCGGAATTCCAGAGTTACGCCGTATAAGAACGGTGACAAAGTCGAGGTATATATTTACAACAATTACTCGTGTATCATTTAAATATTATACACTTATTCGGTGTTCGGTAATTTTGAAAATCTGTGTATGATAGCAGGAGAAACCTGTATCCGCACCTAAACCTGCATCCAAACCTAGGGGCAGCGTAAGCAAAGAACCCACGGTATACACTTTTCACACTCACAGTAATAGACACTTAATAAACGGTTACATTTATCTAAATATTAATTTCATAGTCGATATTTAAATTAATAAAATTCAATAATTACTATCTCTTGATTTTTATTTGTATCTTTGTTTATATTTTACATCTATTATTTGCGATAAGAGGGGGAGAAGACGATGTGCTCTTTTCGAATAGACTTGATCTTTTAATATTTTCAGGAGGGCGATATACCTGAACACAAAATAGACGAGAACAAATTCAAAAAGGTACACTCACATATACAATTACACGCATTTGAAACACGTACGATACAGAATAAATATACGTATCTTTTTTCTTTTTTTTATTTTAGAGCAAAGACACTGATTCTACACTTGATAAGGAGGAAGTGCCTAAGGTACAAAACTTTATACTTGGAATATACCAATACACGTAACACACACATTTTTTGATTATTTTATTTTATTATATTTTTGCGCAATATTTTAGAAAAAGCCGTCCACTAGACGTAGGTCGTCGACTAAATCAACGGAAGGATCTGAGGTATAAAGTGATCTTCGTAATCTGTCAGTGTTAATCATTGACTCTTTCTCTCTTTCTTTTCGCTATATATATTTAATCATGCATTCGACATTCTTCACTTTCTCATTCTCTCTGTTATAATCTTCAAAACTATTTCTTCGCAGATATGCATTGACATTTCTTACCACGTTAAGCATCTTTATGATATAGTCTTTCTTCTGCTCTTTATGATAACAATTTTCTTCTTTTCTTATCGCTCTTCTTCTTCTTCTTCTTCTTGAAATTTCTACAGTTTTGTTGATTAAAAAAATATTGTTCAGGACCAAGAACAAGTTTTGAAACCAAAGAAGAAGAAATCTAAACCCGTGGATGAGTCTAAGGTACATGAAAATACGTATTAATTATATCACAATTATAAATATGTGGAATAAGTAAGACTTTAATGACACATTTCACAAATGTAGGAAATAATGCAGTATCTATACAATTTTTGATATATTTTTTGATGAGGCAAATACTTATTATTAACAATTGCAAAGCCGCTATAATATGCTTTTGATGTATTATTATTATTAATATATCATTAACATGCAAATCTTTTTATGCGTTATACTATAAAATGCAAATGAAAAGATAAAACAATTTATACAAATTTATTAATCATAAAACATCTATATATTTCTGTATATTAATCTTTTATATACACGGAGTACATCTATAAATAAGCATACACTTTCACATAAATCTTACAATATAAAACTATTTTTCTAGAAAGAGGAATCGACTACAAAATCGAAAACTCTCGGAAAACCGGAAGCACCCAAGGTACACAAAATCACACTTTCATATACACAAATATACAAAGTTTTCTAACATAATTAATTTATTTTAAATCTTTGATTATTTCATAATTACATTCACATCTTACGGAAAAAAGTAAACAATTCTAAATTTATATTTTAAAAACACGGCTTTTAAAAGGCTATTACTATATTTTAGGAGGAAGCTAAGCCTAAACCGGCAGATGCGAAGGTATTATATTTTTATGCGTAATATCGCTCGCATTTAACGCTAATATTCTTTAAAACTTTATACATACAGCTATAATTAAAACATAATACAACATAATACAAAACGCAATAAGATACTCTTTTTTTTAAGAGAAAACTAGCAGCGATCATATTTAACAACATGCCATAAATGCGTGACTAAAACATCTCCGTTCACATTTAAACATGTTTCCAACGTTTTTAGGTGGAACCGAAAGCCAAACCCAAAGCGGAGGAAGTAAAGGTATACATAAATATGCACACTATCTTGCAACAATATCCACTTATACAAGTAGCAGAATACGAGAGATGTTACTTAAAATACGACAAATATGAGACAATATTAAACTCCACTCGTACACTTTTAGGAAGCACCAAAGGCCAAACTTAAACCAGACGAACCGAAGGTATACGAAAATACTTTTTACATCGCGCTTTTTATCATTGAGTTTAACGAACTCAATTATACCATAGCCGATCGAAACAAAAAAGAAAGCGTCATTTAAACTTACACGTGCACTTTTAGGAGGAACCGAAAGCTAAGCCTAAAGCAGAGGAAGTAAAGGTACACTTACACTTGCATCATCTTGTAACAGTATACATCAGTATAATTTACGGTTGATGGAAAAAATACACAAAATATATTATAAATAAAAGCAGATAGTTAATTTGAACAATACTTATACACGTTCCAGGAAGCGCCCAAAACCAAGCCAAAATCAGACGAACCAAAGGTACACAAAACATTTATCACACTGTATATTTTAGTAACAAAGCTAGTAGTTAGGCTTTTAAAATGAGTCTACACTTATAGCGATCGACACAAAAAATAAACTGTATCTCATCTTACGTATACGTTTCTAGGAGGAACCAAAAGCTAAACTTAGAACGGAGGAAGTGAAGGTACATTTACACTTGTGTTATTTTGCGACACACGTATATTATACATCTGATACAGAAATAATAAAGTACAGACATATGAAGAAAATTAAAAAAAGAATTTAGATCATGTGATGTAATTTTTCTCAATCAATTTCACGTATATATTAAGAGAAGACAAAACCAATTCGATACTCAAACACGTATACACTTTTAGCATACAACGACACTTAAGCCCAAACCAGAAGAAGACAAGGTATATTACACATTTTCCTAATTATTTCTTTTATTTATGGTTACATTTTTTATACTTTAGTATTACACTTTATTTATTTTTATATTTTATTTTATACACTTTATACTTTACATACATTTATACGTGAATATTATACGAACACTTTTAGGTCAAGGAAAAGTCTAAGGCTAAACCAGAGGAATTAAAGGTAAACCTAAATGTTGACAAAGAGATACACAAAGATGATATTAGGAAAATTATAATATGGCAAATACGCGATTATGAAATATTATTCGTGCATTTTTAGGAGATACCGAAGGCTCAACTTAAGCTAGACGAACCGAAGGTACACAAAACACTTATTACATGTTACATTTATTAATCCGGGATCAATAATCACGGTTTTAGATTGTTTCGGTCAATAAAATCTCGAATTAAATCTTACACATACACTTTTAGGTGGAATCAAAAGTTAAACCCAAAGCAGAGGAAGCGAAGGTACACTTATGTCGCTCTATTCTTACACATTTGACAACATAGCTCAATTATTTACATTCGGTAATTAATATAAGACACGTTGAGGTAGAACTCGTTTTGCTATTTGTAGGAAGAGGAACCCGCGACGAAACTTACAGCTAAACCACAAGTACCAAAGGTACACTTGATAACACACACATACATATATAGAAATTACAATCTAACATTTACACATGTATATATTAGATATGATTTAAAACTGGATACAAATTTTGTCGAAGAGATAAAATTACACGTGTTTGTGCTTCTGTTTGCAGAAGGAAGAAGAAACCACTAGGAAAAGTCTGAGATCTGCCAAGGTAATTATCACAATTATCGCGAAAATAATAATTGCTAATAAAAATCCAACAATAATTCAAATGTAATATGATTTGCATTTTTTAAATCCAATATTAATATAATTTAGTAAAAAGATATTTTAAAATTCTATAAATTTTTATTTCCGAAGTATCTTATGTAAATATATATATTAATACAATTATTAATTTTCTTTGTTCTAGCAACTCGAGGAAGAAAAGAAAACTCTAGAGAAAGTCGAGCTTAAGGTAAGTTTACGTATCTTCCTCGTCGTATTGTATTTATGAATAATCGTTCAATGTAATGTGTCCAATATATCGTTCCCTAGTAGAAGTAGAAACGATAACAAAATTAGTATGAGTGCCGAATTTTTAATATTTCGTCAGTTATCATAGAATTTAATTTTGTATTCTTAAATTAATACTATTAGATTAGTATTGTTTGTGTATTTTTACTGTACGAAATGTGACTCTTCGCAAATGGGACATCAAAAGTCGTATCTATATATATCGCACTATATCTATATACCTCACGCGTCAAAACCTTTTTTTCCTAAAAATGACGTATTAATGCAGCCAAAGGATGCCACCGTGACCAAACCGAAATCCCGTATACTACCACCGAAACAAGAAGTTAAAACCGAAAGCTTTCAGGGGATTCAGCTTAAACCTGTTTCGAAGGATCCGAAACAGGCTCAGCAGGCTGAAAATGGCAGGGTGGAACTTAAGGTAGCCCCGCTGAAGGGAATCAACGCAAAGATCTTGCTGCAATCTCTCTATGTCGCACTCTCTATGTGTTCCTAAACTTCTCTAAATCTCGATTTCTCGGCGCCTAATTCTGTGCAATTAAACAGCGCCAAAATATATTTGTGTTTCTGTATGACTTCAAGATGTTTCTCACACCATATATTCTCTTAATACAAGCGAAATTAATCTCAGTGTTTTAAATGTTCTCTCTCTTTCTCTCTCTCTCTCTCTCTTTCTTTCTCTCTTTCTAAACTTATCTTGTATATAATTGTATATATTATCTTGTATATAATATGTATATATCTCGATATATTTCTAAACTCTACAATACACTTCTACACTCACATCTTTTACTTCTCTGATATATTCTAACTTTTCTTTAATTTACACATAATCTTCTATTTATTGTTAATAATACGATGCGCAGGAAATTTTTAAAAGATTGGTTCTTTCTTCTCTTTCTCTTTTGTCTATCTTCACGCTCTTCTTCTTTACTCTGCCTAGAGTCAAGAATATTATCTGCATTACTATATCTATTTAAACTCTTCTGATCTCTTTCACATAATTTACGTTATGTGAATCTGCTATATAATTTTATATAATATATGTTTCTAATAATAAACACATGTCAATACTGTAAATATTATGAGATTGTGTTACACATCTGTGCACTTATGTAAGAATGTTTCTTATGCTAAACTATTACGTATTAACACACAAATCGACTCAGGTAAAACGGCTGTGTATCTATCTATCTATCTATATGCACTATCTTTCTATCAATATAAGTATAATATTTCACTAAAATCAAGAATTTTTCTGCAAAAAAAAAACAAATTTTTACAATACTTTTTACCAAAAAAATTTTTGATTTTATCAATAAATTTTTTTCAACAATACAATTGAATGATATTTTTTTTCTTACAATAACGTATTACATCATTGTTATTGGATTCATGGTTATAATATAAAATCAATGCAAAGAAAATTTAACATCTAAAAGCACTATATAATTACAGTTTTTTTTCAATGTTATCTGCTGTCTAATGACTAAAACATATCATCTTTTTTTTAAATAAAAATAAAATTTTGTAGAAGAATAAATACATTATAAGAAAGTTATTTAATTTTATTTTATTACAATTAAAAACAGTATTTTTTATCTTATATTTAAACAAAAATATATTGTTTTATGATTCTAAGATTGCAATAATCATTCCTATTTGCTACTGGCAACTTGTGTGAAGGGAATTAAACAAGCGCCGTAATCAACGCCGTGTTAACCTCCTCACATCTTCGTACGATTCTGTAACATTTATATTGTTTCTCACGCAGAAAACCGAGAAGGCGGAGAAGCTCGATGTAAAGAAGAGGAAAGCCTCGAAAGCGACAAAGGAGGCTGATTACGAGCTTCCGGAGATCCCAGATTATGAAAGGCCCGTTCTCGAGAAACCTCAGGAATTCCAATTCGGCGAGTTTGTGCCTCGCGATAAGACGAAGCTCGATAGACCGGCCACGCAGGTAAAAAACAATTAAATCTTTTTATATAGACGTCATAACATAACAATCATCTTGCGCGATAATTAAAATTATATTAAATAATGTTAATAATTTAATCTCAGTTATTGTATAATAGCCATGTATATATGTATATATACATATATTGTTTTCATGGTGCCAAATTTAAATGATGCAGAAATTCGATTCTAAGGTGAGTAATATCATCATTTATTAATAACGCGCAAAGGGAGAATATAATTTTGCCAAATCGTTGAAATCGCACACACGAAAAATTCTGCGAATTTCGCAATGGTTGGTCGAGCATGTTTTGATCAAGGCTCGCGATATGCGGTTCAGGACAATTAATTTTTACGGCCGATTTGCGGGCGGTTTAATTATAACCAAGGTGCAAACTAGAGTGGCTCGTTTCACAAGCTCGGAAGGACGGCAAATTTTTCAAGAACCAATTATCTAAAAATATGACACTTATGTGCAAGTTATATACTGTGATATTCGTGATATATACAATTGATAAAGACCTTGAATAACTTTATATATTAAACAAATTTTAGTGATTTTAATTATTTGTATGCCATTTTTAATTTTCCAACATTAAATATCTTGATAATTGAACTTTATATATATTAATATTGTGCCGGATTGAAATCCGCATATAATTAATCGTAAAACAAGATTTTATTTATATCACTAAATACTTAGCAAGAATTTTTATTTTTTAATTTCAGACCACTCGTTTTATAATCATTTCATATTTATATCAATTTTATTTGATTACAAATTTGATCATATTCAAAATAGGCAGTCTTCATGATAAAACTAATGACTAATGATAATGTTTTGGACGAGAAATTGGTGTAATTTTTTTTCCAAAACTTTGACAAAACGTGCATTGGCAAGGATCTTAGTCGCAAAAGGACCATCTTCATATTTTTCGTTCGCATTGAAGAGTGTCCCAGTGCCATAAATATCATCGTTCCATCTGCATAATCGCAATTAACGCGTGGCAAACGTAAAGATGAGGAGGGGCGGGAAGGGTAGGGACGAAAAATATAGGTAATAATCAGCCGGCCCGAATCTCGCCTTGGCAAGCGATGAATGCCTTCTGTGCAGTGCGCGACCGTCGCGCCCGCGACAGAACTATTTTGGCGAATAAACGCTCGTATATCACCCCCCTTAAAATCGGTCCTTCGTCTTCGTCGACGTCGTCGTCGTGAACGAAGATGGGGAAAACGTCGATCGCTATTTTCGGCCTTATTACGACCGATCCCCGCGGGTCTGCGACTCGTAGAGCGCGATTCGGGAATTGCGGGGTCAGTCGTGATCGCCCTCCGTACGCGATCGTATTTGATTACACGATTAACTCGATACCTCGGTAAAAATTATCGTAAACCTTGATTTGAGTCTTTGTTGGCTTGCGATCCTCCATTGAGCGCGATCCCGAGGAATTGTTCAAGTGTATCTGGTGATTAATCTGGAACATTATCAAAGATCGATTAGAAATTGATTAACGTTAATTGCGGTTCTCTAATCCTTAGTTTCACCAGTGGATGGATGATTAGATATCTCGTAAAGGGAGACTGCAATTTTTATTTATCGAATATATTTATATATTCCTTTTGCAATTTATTATGTAAAAAAGAGATTGATCAATTTAGATCTAATAAATCTTAAATAAATTTCATATCTATCATTGGTGAAACAAATCTAAATCTTCTTTTTATTAAAGAAAGAGAAGAATAAACTACGTATGTGATTTGGACAAATTTTAACTTAACTATTTCCAAATTTAAAAGAGCTTTTGTTTAATTTTTCGAACGGATTAAATTAAAAGTATCCGCGGTTAATCGATCGATTTTTGATCATCGTAGCCGAAATTACCGGAGATCAAGGCGCCCGAAACACCCAAGATCGAAGTGATCAAGGACGTGACGCCAATCGGCAGCAGGAAGGGCTCCTTAGTACCCGGAAGTGGCACCAGCAGTCGACGCGGTTCTCTCATACCGCCTGAGGAATTGGGTCGCAGACCTAGCCTGATCATCAGTGACGAGGTATGTTACGGAATGTATTGCATGATCGCGAAGGTATATAGACTACCTCGTAAAGGACCGAGCTGAAGAATGCGACGGAGACTTCCGTTATATTACGCCAATATAACCGAGCAATTTAATTTTTCCAAATCGTCGACTATATAGATTTTTAAAAGAAGTTAACTTTCGTGAATTTAAAATTGTACAACAGATAACATCGAATATACACCCATAAAAATAATTATACCCATAAAAATAGAATTTAATTTATATTCACATTTTCATTTTTCAAAATTAAAACGTATGTATCTTAAATTAATTATCAAACGATTACATAAACAGGATTTTCCGAGCTTAAACTCTGTTGCATTCTTAGGAGTTCATGAGATCACCCAAGATTTGCTTTATAGAAATGTGATATATAAAGAAAGGAAAAGCTCGTTAAGTTATTATATGCTAAACCTTTAAATTTATCAGAAATATTTCAAATCGCCAGATATTGTCCCAATCAGTTCAAAATCTTCAAAGTTCAAAAACAGTTTGAACGACGTGGTGAATCAATTTCTTTCACCTGCAATTATCTTCCATTTCATATCAATAAAGCAAAAGAGGGTGATATCTAAAAAAAAAATGGCACACTTTGCACTCTTAAAAATAATGAATAATTAAGAGAATAATTTTGTGAAAAACAAAATTTAAATATATATTACAATTAATAGTTATAATGCATATATTAAATGTTGATTTATTGGAAACATGTTTATTTTAATAGAAAAATTTATATTTTTGATACAAGTTTATACACATGCTTCGTGAGAATTAATTTAATATGCATAATTATGGACTATTTTTTTTTCTCTATGATAGTATACTATATTATTGATAAATATATTTCAGAGTGCAAAGCGCTCGCACAAGTCCCATTAGGTAGACGATTAATGAATAAAATATTCGGACGTATAAGTAGACGACTGGCTGTTGCTGGTCGGCTACTGTTAGGATTTTCTTTGTAGCTTTTTTTTTGGATTTCGTAGAGTGTAAGTCAGTGATGATCTAGTGGTCGTATTCGTGATGGTACTTAGTGATAGATACGCGCCGACGTGAATCTTCCCGACGACAAGTTCGTCGAGCGATGCACGTCGCGTTTAATGTCAGCAAGGCGTGAAATTTAGATTAGAACCCTTTGTACCAAGCGAGAGATCCAAAGTTCTTGCCAGCTTCTGAAGCATATTCCTTCCCTCCCTCGTCTTCCCTCGGAAAAAAAATCGAGTCCCATCGGACGCCAGTAGAAGCGTTCCTTCGCAACCGGAAAAGAAAATGGGAACGAAATGGATCTCTTCGAGTCGTAATATCAAGGACGTCCGAGATCAGTGCGCATCGACTTACAAAAAGCGAGAACCCGAAGAACTAAACGGTCCCTTCTGAAGAGAACGTCGAAGAAACACGGATAATTGCCGATCACGTGGTATTACTTTAGTTGAACGCGAGACTGATCGAAAGCGTTCCCGCGAAAAGTATATTCGATATTTTATATAAGATAATTTTTTTTTTTTAACAGTTTCTTTCTTTTTTTACGGATTATAATTAGCATCACAAAACTGCGACAAATATGTATTTTTAGTTTCACTCTGCTACAACAAGAACTATGTTTCGCGAATGAAAATAGCAGAACATTATTAATTAATGATACTAAAATTAAACAGACACGCAGCCTTTGATATAATTAATTTTAGCTTATATATTTCCCGAGACTTGGTTCAGATTCAAGATAAAGATAAAGCATAGAGGAACGCGCTTCGATACGTCCGCGACGGCGGTGGAACGAATTTCGACCTATTAAAACGATCATATTAAACGATGTAACATGTTACAGCATCGTGCACATACGTACACACATACACACACCCATTGCAGTTTACTTAGCAGTAGTGGTTAATAGAGATTTGGTCCATAGGAGCATAGGAAGCTTCGTCCCGGCGAGGTGGTGGACGAGCGCAAGGTGAGATAAATAGCTGAAAAAAAAAGAACAAATGTGGAAGCGAATGCCTCGTCTGCAACCTTACTCGACTACCAAGTCTGCACTTATTCGACTTATCTTTCTCGCTCGCACACTCTCTTTCTCTCTCTTTCTCTCTCACATACACTCACCGGAATATCGCGCAAAGAGAATTAATTTAAGCGTTCGCAAAAGAAAATAAATTGTTCAAACATGCTTTTATTATCGAAAATCGACATCTACAATTCTCTTCGCCTGATCTTGCCTGCTCATTACTACTGTTTACTCACTATGGTCGTACTTTACGGCACACGATGCACGAAATTCACACGCGTCGTCCCGAATTTAATAGCTCACTTTACGACGACAATAATTTGTTCAATTAATTAATGAATAAGAGAGAGCGTCGCATTGTCGATTAAATTCCCGACGATGCCATGCACACGTCGCACGTGCGAGAAAATTTCACTATTCTTTTTATCATTGAAAAATGTTCGCAAAATATATTTATGCATAATAGATTTTTTTCCAAAACCCTGTTGTATTTTATAGTTCGTTGAAACGAAAGATATTGAGATGAAACTCTCTCGCACGCGCCATTCGATGTTTCAACGCACTTAATTCGGGACTTGATCTGCATAAAAATCGAATGCATCTCTGCATCTGACACGGATCTGTTGCAACCGAGTCTCTATGCACACTATCCCTCACAACTCTTGACAATAATAATTAATTAATTAATTAATTAATTAATAATATGAGACAGAAGAAGCATCTCGGAGGAAGTCAGGGCGCGTCGATTCGTGATTAATCATTCGCATTACAAGGTTTCGTGAGCTCTCTTCCTGGCTTACATTTCGACTCGTAGATCACCGAATCTTGGCAAGCACTATGTCACCGTAGACAGACATCGGCGCTAATAAATGTCCCAAGTAGTGCGACACGACGTTTGAATCACTCCTGACAATCTAGACGGCCTCATCGCCGTCTGGTAAGACACTTGTTACCTCGTTCTGCCAACGTTCATCATTATCAAACGAAATTGAATTATTACTGTGCATACCGATCCGTGAATCAGACAGATTCGTGGACGCTCCTGTCGCACGAGAGTAAAAGAGCTACGAGTCGGACCCAAGTAAAATTTTTATTTTTTTTATAGATAAAATTTATTATAAATTTTATGCATATAGAGATATTTTATTATATAAATGTACAATACGTGTTCATATTAAGATAATCTTGCGACTTGAAGATAAGCCATTGATGCGCCCTTGCTTCTCTAATCGATTATCTCGAACCTGAATGTCGATTATTTTTCAGAGTAATAGTACTAAATCGTAAAAAAAAACTAATAAAAAATTGCATTCGAAATTTTGTACACGAAATGACAATTATACATGTGTATAAAATTATAATGAAATTATGTATAGCGCAAATTTTTGTTAGATTTGTATGATTGCAATGTTCCAAGAAACTATGATAAGTTCGAGATAAACGAGATGCAGTTCTCAGATTATTCTTGCGAACGATGACTAGAGACTCTTGTCTCTCATGCAATCATGCACACGATGATACTATCGATTTGGTTGCATTTAAACTCACTGACGTATCAGCTGGCATCGTGCACCGCCCAATCGCACTGTCGTGTAGCAATGCACCGCAAAGAAATGCAAACGCACAAGCTGTCGGAACGTCGGTAAGGCTAGCCTCGAAAAGCCCACCAGCCCCTAATTGTATTCGTCTTCTTCTATTTACCTTCATCTCTTTTGAATCCCTTTCTCTCTATCTTTCCCTTATAATACTTTCAAAGCCCCGTTTTCCTGGATTTATCGAGATTCTGGCAAATTTCGAGCGAATAATCAAAAGCCCCTAACTCAACTCGGCGAGAAGAATCGATTCCCTCCTTAACTTCTAACAGATGGCAAGGCAAGCACGCAGGAACATTTTTATTTTTTTCTTTCTTTTTTCGATCTTGCTTCTCGCGTCAATTGTGTCTTAAAAAATAAAGAGAAACGCAGATATTGAAGTCCGTCCTGTGTAAATGTATCGGGAAAAATTAACAAGTCGCGTCGACAGGCGACAAAGAGAAAATCTCCACGATGACGAGCAATCACGTCAATCACCTGACCCTTATGTGTGATTTTTGCAGTTGGGAAAGTTACGGCCCGGTGAGGTGTTGGACGCAAAGGTGAGATTTGTGTTCGCTATAACACAAAGCTTACCTGCTCAAAGTATATACCGTCTCACCAGCGATCTTCTGTATTATATCTTGCACTGTTCTTTTTCTTCCACGGTCCTCGATCATCTATTTTGAATTTTTGAATTTTTCTGCGCCCCCATTCCCCGCCCCCAATAATTTTTTGTCTCTGTTTTGAGCGACGTATTTTTTTACCCCCTTGCCTCGCCGCCCCCCAAACCCTTCTGACCCAAAAAGACAAAATAATGAAAGCCCAGCAACTAAACGAAAGCTAAAACATACTCGGCGACAATGACCCCAGTGAGAGAGGCAAAAGCAACGCTATGCGTTACCGCGGGACGGCAATAATAATATTAATAATAATAATAATGACAATGATGATGATGATGATGATGATGATGATAAGGGATGATGATGATATTAATAATAAAAAAATAATTCTGCGACATTTTTTAACTGAACTTTTTGAGATTGTTGCTGCTGCTGCTGCCGCTACTGTAAACACGCTAGCCGCTACTTTTTCAACCCCCCAATGCGGTTTAATATATCGCAACTTTATAATATCGATTTTTAATACTTCTTACATGTTCGTGAAAGAGTACATTGGCAAATAATTCACTGATCAATAATCTGAGTTCTTTTTTTCTCTCACATTGATAAAGACGCCCCCTCATCTCCCCGCATCGAACAGCCCCCTCTGTACGAGTTCACCACCGTGTGGACTGCCCGTTTTTCCCCAGAATTCGAGCTCTAATCTCACTCTGTCCCCCTTTTTATGTCTCTACCTCTGTCTCTATCTCATCTTTTGTTTTTTCACGCACCACACACAGACTAAGCTCGGCCGACCAGGCGCGCTGCAGGATAAAGAGGTTAGCACAATGTCTCTGTTGTGCGTGTACGCATATGTATATTTTTATATTATTTTATATCATGTACATTTTTATACGTACATTATCTCGATATTTTTTTTTCTTATATTTATTGCGTGCTTCAAATTTGAAAACTATTTATACAGAATGTTTTCGAATAACATTCGAAAACTTTGTTTGCGGATTGATTTGATTAATATCGAGGGGCGATTATGATTTAACAAAAATATATATAAATTTAAAATTAAAATTTTTTCAGACGTTGGTTAAAATCAATTTAAAAATGAGACTCTTTTACAACGCAGAGGTTTGTCACTTCCTTTACATTTTTCATTAAGAAGGGATCGCTCGTCGAATTAGCCAAAAAATTTGATGGGCAAACGTTTTGAATATTATTCGAGATCTGTATGTGTTTATAAATATTTTGCAAAGAGCACTTGTCGCGATAATCAACGCCGACGATGTGCTTTTAAACGGCGCTCTCGCATTATGTCGATTTATATGCGCAAATTATTATTCCTTTTTGTAATAAAAATTAAATACAGGCACGTACATATAGATCGATTTAATGCAAAGCGTTTGAGTAAACTCGTCTCAACGGCGTTGCAGAAATTATGCTTATTAGTTCGAGCGGATACACCTGTACATTTTATGCGGCTGTAGATGCAGTTTAGATACGAATATATAATGGTGGTAAGATTGGTATTAGCTTATATTACTTATAATAATCGAGGAGAAACAAAATTATTACAAAATATTTCCTACCAGTTTTTCATTGTTATTTAGAAAAATTATTTATGTGAAACCTACCACCATTAAAAATCAAGTAGTCACAGTGCGACTCGGTATCAGACCTGTCGCGGTGCAATGCAATCTTACTTTAGCATCCACGATATATACGTGTGTGATTAAAGAAAAGAAAATATTTAAAAATTATTTTATAATAAATTTTATAATATTTGGACTTTGATCAATTTAATATATAATGACATAATCATGTGTTGCGTTGATAAAATAATTTATATCCATGAAATTATTTGATTATATACGATTTAACAAATATCACAAATAAATTTGTTTCAAGAAACAAAAAATTAATGTTGGAGATTTAAGTTTATCGATTTTGCAATTTTGCATACCACTGCGATAGATTTGAGACCGAGCGGTTTGCTCCTATATATATATATATAAATGTCAGAGATATATGTGTGAAATAACTTATTCGTGTAGAACTCTATGTATAGGTGTAAACACATCCATCGTGCTCACACTATATGTGTCAAGTAGATTCGATCGAAATATTCTCACTTTTATCGCAACAAATACGATGTTACTTTAAGAACGGGAGATAAATCCTGTTCGCTCCGATTCGCAAATGTGGCATCGTAATTGTGCGTGCGT